CCTATTCTTATCAATTTTTTGACCTGAACTCCTTTAAAGTTATCTGGTAAGATGCTACGGATAATTTCTCTGAGCTTTTCCAAGTTATGCGCGCGTCTAATTTTGGGATCACGATCGCTTGACTCTAGCAAATTACAATAATCGATGAGGTTAAATTCTTCTCAGTCACGCCAGGGGGGAGTTCTGTCTTACTAGCAGACTCGGGTAATGTATTTTGTGATTCGGAATGGGAGTTCACCAATGACTTGCCAAACAAGTGCCGCTTATAGCTTTTTCCCTTTCACTTTTTCTCCGTACTGTCCATTTTTCATCACTCTGGGACTATTAGGAACGATGGCGATTTTATCCAGGTCTTCAATTTCTGCTGAAGAAGCATGACTACCCATGTCAATACCAAGTGGCACTTCACTCCTCGTTAGTTCCAACTGAGATTTCACTTTTTCGTCAATCACAGTCGGATGTTTAATGCGTCCCGTAACAGCACGTACTACACGGGCACATTCTTCACTATCAGTACCCATGTTACCAGCACAATCACCATCTTTCTTACAAACCAAAGCTAAGAGGCTCGTATTCTCCTGAATCAGTGACGTCTTACTTTTACAACAAAACATACAGAGCCAATGCGAGTTAGGCTTCGAACATCTTTTGTATGCCATGGGACTTAAATGGATACACATCTTATGGAACCACTTTTTACACTCATCACATTGCATTCTTTCCTCCACGGGGAATAACGAATTTGGCTGTCCATATTTCTAAGTACTGCCAACGACTGTAATCAGATTAAGGTTTAAAACACAATAAGAACACAGGTGTCAGAGTTAATGAGAAGGAATGTACCACAAGACAAAGCTTAGCAAAATTTCAAACCTTGACCGAAATACTTCGAGTTAAGGTAGACCAAGAACACTTTTTGATACAGAAAGCACGAAAAACAAAGATAATCACAACAAGTACTAAATCACTACACTTTCATTTATAAAAATACTCTTGATCATCATACCTTATAATTTCATTTTATTTTTAAACATCCCTGCGGTTTAGCAAACTACTATCAGTAGCTCATGAGCGCGAAGTGTCACAAGCAGTTTGAGCGTTAAGATTACCGTGCTTACCAGGTCCAGATTAAACAGTGTTTCAACCACGCCTAGTTTTATGTGTACTCAGTGAATATCACATTCAATCAGTGATCTGAAAGCCTCATGTGACCTTAAATAGTGATAAAACCAAGTATATAAACAAATTTCGTGTTCAGTAATTCTCCCTTATTCATATTATAGTCTTAAAAACCATATAAAACAAAATAAGATGTCATCCATAGAAAGAAAGCAATAATTAAGAGAAGTTACATGTGAAGTTGGATCTGCGACTTAGTGGTTAGTGGATTTGACTTCCAGCCGCTAAATTCCAAGTTCAAACCTCAATATGTCCTCTTCGGTTTGGGTTACTGGGTAGTACCATAAACCCCTATGGTTAGAATGTAACTCATACCCAATTACCTGGAAATTGAATCGATTTACTTATTTATTTTATAGTCTGCAATACGTAATTTCAGTCCTTAACTTTAGTCGGAATCCTTAATTACAAATCCATGTTTATAAATTAGCGAAAAACCGAGTTCATCGTAAGGCTGTCCTATAATTAAAAGTATTCTTCAGTGCACTAATCTGTTTGCATCGTGAAAAGAAAATGGATATTGTATATACTTATAGATAATCCAATCGTGCTTTTCAGATGCTTTACATTCCAACAAATTTGGAACTAGTTCATCAGTAGGGTTATAACATGTGGTTGTTCACCTGTGTGGTAAAATTGTCTAGTATTGTTTGTATGTTTTGAATTTCGTCCTGACATTAATATTTTATAACAATGTCTATATTGGCGTAATTAATTCGTAATGTTAGATGACAATGATACACGCGATTCATTGAAATATAACTTAGTGAAATAAAAAGTAATGAGGTATTCAAGGGCTCAGAATTTGTGGGAAGATAAAGAACGAGTGCACCTGCGCCATTGCAAACGATTTTAAACCTTATCATTCAGTCTCTAACCGCTGGTTATGATAATCACGCGGACCCCAACCAGATAGCCTACACTTATTGATATGGTCAAGTTAAACTGTCAGTAACTTCATGGATTGATGCCATGTTTTGGCTTGGTCATCGCTGGGCTTCCTCCAACCTACTTTTACACGAGAAAATATTGCCCGTCGAGGTATTCGGAGGATAGGCATACGTAACACATATCCTAACCACCTCAATTGGTGAAGATTTACTGCATCATCAATTGGTTTGTCATCTTTACCTAGTACCCTATTCCTAACCGAGACATTGCTTATTCCGTGGTTCCAAAATACACGAGCAGTACTTCGAAGACACCTATGACCGAATATTGGTAACCTACGAATACCTTCTATTCTTAGTGACCATGTTTCACACCCAGAATGTAAGACGAGGCGAAGTTCTGCACAGTGAACTCGTCGAATTTACATTGCAAGTGACTCAAGTTGGCAAAAGCCAATCGAGCCCTTTGAAAATGTGCCTAGATTTCATCAGAGTTGAATGGGGTCCCTATCGTTTATATAAACGTCACCGGAATCCATTCACCATTCATGTAATAACAACACAACTTATCAAGTACAAGTTAATGTACTCAACTATGAACCACGCTTTTTATGTATTTAGACTCCTGATACTTCATAAATCTCGAAATAAAGTGGGGTAGTGTTTGAACAAACTATATAATTTGATTAAAAGCCGAGTGATTAAATCAGTTCTATTCCTAATATGTTAGTTGTGACTGAATGTTTTGACAGAGCACAAGTTACCACGTCTTGTTTGGTATATTGGTCATAATTCGGAAGAATCATATGTTTTAAACTTATTTGGTACAAAAAGTTGTTACACTCATTAATAAATGAACTAACAAGCTTGAGTTTCATGAGTAATCAGAACATCTCTCAAATGCCCAGGTACAGCCGCGGGTGGAGAGAGTCAGCTCTCCCTCACAAAATGCTCTCACATCGCCACGTGCATACAACTACTGTCAGGGAAGTCCTACTCACTGCTTTCTCGTGGCAGGGGTGTTGTTTACAAAATTGAGAGGACGAAAAGCAAGGGACCGGTGCTTTAACGGGGTTGGTCGACACAGAGGATTCACCTAGCGGAGTTGGGGAACCTTGATTCTAAACCGATTGTGCACATGGACTCCAGGATCCTGAAGGAAAAATGACGTATAAACCAATTGTTGGTTACCGGCTACTATGGGACTGCATCTCCTTACGTTGCTTGACTGCCTTGTGGATCAGAACTTAAGGTCGAAGGCTCAGGTTGTGGTCCCCTAAGAAAACCACCCACTTCGGTCTGGCACCTGGGAAGTATCAGAGCCCATGTACAAATTAAGTGGATTGTGTTGCGCATATGTATTCAATGCCTCTGTATATTCACAATTTACCGATCGAAAGTGACTAAATTTGTTAATTAGTTGTGATTCAAGGTATAAACACTTCATAAAATGGTAGGTACATGTCAATCCCATTATTAACGACCTAAGCTCTTATCACCTATATTCGTTTTTAAGGTTTTGACTCAGTTTATTGATTGCAATGTATTGATATTGATATTATTTGAGTCAGAGTAGCCAGTTAAATAATCTGAGTAGGTTTTGTGCTTTTACTCGTTATATACTGTAAAGCTTTGAATCATTGGTTACGTTTTGTTTATTGACTGACAGATATGATGTTTTTCTTAGACTTCTGAAACTTAGGGCTGTTTATACCCTAATATTGCAGTTTGTCCTTTTTTTAAATTTTGCTTTCATTCCTAATCTTTATACTAGAACTTCTACATTCCTGAGTAGACATAAGCTACTATTTGGTTGTTTTAGATAATATATTCCTTATTTTAATATCTAATACAAATATTCTGAAACCATGAGTGTCATTTGAATAGGTTTTTTAATCTTAGTACAAATCAGATAATAGATATTTTGACATTCTAAAAAATATTGGTACTGAAATGTATTGAATTTCAACTATTATTACTAATTAGCTATACATTTATAGACAGCAAGAATGTTTCATCTGCGTTTATCCGTTGACTGTTCATGAAATCGGTATTATAATAGGCACCATAATCGGAGGAATACTTGTAAACAGTAATCCCACTAACAACCTTTAATGTCTTGCTAACCTGAAAATTGTGATTACAATCTAAAGTAAAGGGTCCCTAAAATAGTGTCATCTCGTTATCATCCCCTACTGTTCGTTGGATCGCAACCTGAATTGGGAATTAAAATGAGTTTTACTGTCAGCTGAGTAATCTCAAGCAAGTGTGCTGTAAAAAAACTTATGCTAGCTGCTGATTTGATGAAGCAGCAACTACATTCAACAACTAGGTGTTCTTGTTTATCTAAACTACTAGTAGTAATAGACCGTGTTATTAAAAAAATATGATATACTTCAAGTATTCCATCACACTAAAGAATCTGTTGTTGTTCTTGTCTTCGGAAACGACCTGATTGATATATACTACAATCATCGCTATGGAATGTTATCAGTCCTAAAATATTGTTTATCCTCATACTGAAAAGATCGTCTATAAAGCTTGAGAAATTGACTTGAAAAATGAGGCCTTGTGTTTTTGAAAAGTAGATTCATTGATCAAGTTTTCATTCCACCAGATGCTTGAACATCATGTTTTTGTGAAAAAATCACCGTTTTGAAATTATGTCTAATTTTGATTTTTCAGACAAGGTTGTTCTGTGGAATGGTTTGTTGAGAAAGAGTGTTGATCCGTTAATATTTTGTAATAAAACATTTTATTTTACTATTGTTTGAACACATGAACATTGGTATAAGGATTTTATTTATTTATTTATTTTAACACATAGATATTGGTACAATGAGGCACCAAATACATGTGCGCCACACAAATGTCATTTGATATGTGTTAGGGCTGTATTATTATTATTATTATTATTATTTATAATAATAGCCGGTGCCCAACGATTGGTTCATGCGCCATATGTTCCTCCAGGATACTGGAGTCCATGTGCACCATTGGTTTGGAATCACGGTTCTCCAACTCCCCTAGATGGACTCGCCGTGTTCACCGGCCCGGTTAAAGGGCCGGAAATTCGCTTTTCGTCCTCTCAATTTCGTAAACAACACCCCTGCCACGAAAAAGCAGTGAGTAGGACTTCCCTGACAGTAGTTGTATGCACGTGGCGATGTGAGAGTATTTTGTGAGGGAGAGCTGACTGTCCCTACTGTCGGCCTCTTTTGGGGGCATTTGTTTGAACACAATTATTGGTACAAAAGGTAATTACGTACACATACGCCACACAATAACAATGAGAATACGAAGAGATAGAGAATATAAAGTGCATATAAGAAAAATTGGAACAATAACGAACAGATCCACACCGCCATTACCCACATCCATCAGAGCTGTTTCCAGAACGCCATCGATAGCAAAGTTGAGGAGGAATGGTAAGATCGGTCAACCCTGTCTAACCTCACTGCTTGAATGGAACAATGGAATGGGGTGGTTGTATGCCCTCATTCTACCTGATTGTTTTGCATATAGGGCTTTTTAGATGTTAATAAACTTTTCAGCCACACCCTTCTTCAACAGATAAACTTTGAGTACAGTCGTCCAATAAATCGAAGGCGGCCCTGATGTCAAAAAACACGTTTGTTTCCTGAAATAAGTATGGCGGTGGTAAACCAATACGTCCTTGGCCAGAACTAAAACCATATTGATCCTCGTGGGTAAATGTTTCCAGGACTTTTAGTAACCTGTGATTTATAACGGAAGCTACAAGAGACCTTACGCGTCATTTCCATGGCTTCAACCAATTGCAACCAATGCTCATCTTTACTTTTCTTTGGGTTGACAGCTAACTTTGAACCTTGTTCGGTTTGATATTTAGTTGCAACAGAAACTGTAATCAATTTCCCCGCATCAATCCATTTAGGGCGAATTTTTCGGCCACTTTAAAAAGTAAGATAAGATTATCACAAACAAGGGCATGATCGTAGTCCGGATAAGTATCGCAAAAGAAACGGAATTCTTGTACACAACTACGCCAGCAGTGGCTAAATTGCAATGCGATCAATCTTAACTTAGGCATGATATGTAGAGAGAGGACGCCAGGTAGTACATTGGATATGATTGTGACGATAGTTTGTGCAAACAAGAAACAGGCTATAGTCTGCTCAAAGTTGTAGTAGTTAATTACCAGTATCTGACATGTGATCAACAAGTCTTCATTGGCCACTCTACTAACTCTCCATTGCGCAACCCTGCTTAGTCCCACTGTTCAAACGAGACAATTGGAGAGAGGTGGGTGTACGCCCTTACTCTACCTGAAATGTTTGTATGTAGGGCTTTTAAGATGTTAATGAACTTCTCAGACACCCTTCAATAGAAAATTTCAGAGCACTGTCCTGTCTAACAAATAGAGGGAAGCCCTGATGTCAGTAAGCATAACGATTCTTGGCCTACAAAAAATCAGCCTGATCTTCGCGAACCAATCTTTCCCGGGTTTTGAAGAAACCGGAAAGTATGACGGAAGCCAATAATTCAGACGCAATCGTAAGTAGATTTATCGCCTGATAGTTGTTGGATATGTGGCGTACGCCTTTTGAAAGATAGGAACAACTAAGGATTCATTTCATGATGTTATAAACAACTCAACGAGTTCCTTAACCAAAAGGTCACCACCATCTTGAGGAAGGGACAAATGTAAATCGTTTGGACCTAGTGATTCGTGACCTCTGCCTCGTTAGGTAGATCAGTCGTCACCTGCCATGAGGGATAGGATAGTCTTATTGATGTCTCTGAGGCAGCAGACTTGTTAAACTGCTACTCGAAAAACACTGCCCATAGTCCAAGACGGTGGCAGATGCTAGTGATTGGCGTCCTTTCATCTTCACAGATTATTTCGCTCATGCCAGAATTCTTGTTGCCAGTGGCTTGGATGAGTTGAAAGAGCTTTCGGCGGTTACCAGATACAGCTGTTGCTTCCAACTCATTGACATGCTCCGACCAATAGGCTTCTCAGTCCTTACCTAAGGTGGAGAGCTGACTCTCTCCACCCGCGGCCGTACCTGGGCATTCAACAAACAGACGAGACTTTCAACTATAGAGTATTTATGGACTGTAAAAAAAATGATTTTACGTAGCTTAGAAACACATGTAGAAACAAATTTACATATTTAATTGATTCACTTACCTATATCCATAGGATCATCGCATGGTACTGATTCTTCTACTGTAACTTCTAGGGGTTGTGTTCTAACCTGAAAAACATTTGAGTTATATTTCGCGTTTTGATGTCGACATAGCGACCACAGTCAAGCAACAATTAAATTTAGAATTTTAGACTATCATCCGGATTATTATTAACAAATCTAAAGAGTTTTAATCACATGGGATGGAATGATTAATATCTTACAAACTATCTGATAACATCCCAAACCACTGAGTTGTGTGATCTTTACAACTCTAAAAGTCTTTAATTTGGCGATTCAGTCTGAATTAACAATTTGATGCTGTTCTTTTTATTTTTATTAGAGTTGTAACTTATCGAGTTGACACTCATTTTCTAAACAGTTGGTCGTGTGGTTGGAAAATCTCTACTGACGGGGTTTGAGTAACCTAATAGTATGAAAATTTAGAGAATGCTATGTACAATCTAGTAAACAGAAATATATATGTTTGTGTTAGATTTACTTTGTGCTCATCACTATATATGTGCCTACAAACTGTGTAGATCGTTGTTCTTAAAGTTCACAAAAATGATTAGTATACGAGTCTAAATAACTTTATGTCAGTTAAGTGACTTTGATAGTTATCAATTACAATATTTTTGAGTGTAATAAACCATTGTAAAATCAATGTTTTATCTTTGGCATCGTTTCTTATTTTACAATTTCCAGATGTTCGTGCGCCGAAGTAAATTTAAACATGTCTTCGGGAAACCATGCAAGAAAGAATGCTGTTATGAAGACATTCGAATAACAAAAAGTAGTTGGGATGCCCGTTTTTGTGCTGTGAACCCTAAATACCTTGCGATTATTACCGAAGCTGCGGGGGGTGGATCATTTCTTGTTTTACCTATTGAAAAGGTAATTTCCTTTACACTGATAATCATATGTAGATAAATTTAGGCACATCTTGTTAATTGTTTGTTAAAGCATCATGTTAATACTCCTGCTTTCTCAACTAATTTTAAATACTTTGGTCAAAAATATATATTTTGATAAATTCTAAACGGTTTATACCTTGAAGCAAAAGTTTTATAGTTCAGAAATTAATTTTAATTAGAAAGTTGATCTCACCTATCAAGGTTAGAAAATCATCGGAAATTTTTAGTCATATCAAACGTGGCTCATCGTCTGGTACAGTTTTTCTCAAATTTATGCGGATTATATGTGTTCTTAGTGATTTGGGCTGGTGCTATCCTTGTGACTTTTACTAACTTCAGATTAGTTTTTATAAAAGAAATCATGCTCATTTTATTTTGTTTCGTAATAGGCGTAATTCCCACCTGTTGCTGCTATCTTGAAGTGGTGGTCGGGCTTGCCTATCGTGATGAACTAGTCGGGATATACTGGCTGTAACAATCGTTCTTCAAGGTCCTACCATGCCAGACAGGTCGGTTGAAGAACGATAAGACTAAAAGCAACAAACCCAAGGTTCGAGGGCGAAGTCGTACTGTTGACTGTACAGAGTTGTGACAGCAGTAAGATATATTCCTAAAAAACCAGCATAATAGTAATGCTGCCTTCCCACAAAGGAAGAATGGGATTGAAAATGGTCGACACTGAAAACACACACCCCTTATCCCACGGGTTTTCGTCCCCGGCGGTAAAGTCCCAACAAGTACGGAGCTAGCACGAAACTTGATCAGTAAGGTCGTGTGTGACTGACCTCAAGCAGTTGTCCCTTTGGCACTGTGGTCACACTCAGGTCACTAAAACCAACTCTAACCCAATTTCCTTTCCAGGTACCTCTAGGTAAATACTTCCACGGTGTGGGCAACTGGGAATTGGTAACCACCCTCATAATTCTCACAACACTCGAGACCACTGTATTCATAATTAATTCACCTCTTGATTTCCTATTACTCCTCCTACCTCGACTATCAACTCTAAACTCCCCCTCAAGTGTCACTACGGTCAACGATTCTAACGCGCGAAACACTTTCAGGTTTATTGAAACCTCGCTCCATACTACACGTTGGAGCCTTCAACGTACGTACCCTATGTCAAATCGGCCAGCAGGCCACCTTGGCTAAGACCCTAGGATTTCGTACCATTGCACGTCGTGGTAATCGGTGTTCAGGCATACGCAGCACGTGGCCCAACGATCTCAGTCGATGGAAATTCACAACGTCATCAACCGATTTACCATCATTACCTAATACCCTGCGTCTAACCTCACTATTACTTACCCGGTGATCCCAACAGGCGCCAGCAATATTTCTAAGGCTCCTGTGGTCAAATACTTGTAGCTTACGAGTATCTTCTACTCTTAATGGCCATGTTTCGCAGCCGTAAAGTAGAACGGAACAAACTGCCGCGCAGTATACTCGTCCTTTTATTGATAGACAGATATCTCGCCTTCGCCAAAGGTGACGTCAGTTGACGAAAGTCAAACAAGCTTTTCGAATTCGTGCAGAAATTTCGTCAGACACCAACCCATTAGGGCTGATCAGCCTTTCAGTACAAGTGAAGTTGCCAACGCGCTCGACTACTTCACTCCCTATCCTTAGTTCAGGTGTTGACGCAGACCAGTCCTGAAGCAACAACTTGCATTTAGAGGGAGAGAAGCGCATTCCAAACATTCTGGCATTGTTGCTCAGTGCTACCAAAAAACTTCATTTTATCAGCATCTTCACCAAACAGGACTATATCATCTGCGTATTCTAAGTCGATAAGTGGGCCTCCTGGTAGGAGATCAGTCCCTGAAAGTTCAGTCGATGATGGCGTTATTTCCATAAGTAGGTGTATGATGAACTTAAACAATAGTGGAGACAGTGGACAGCCTTGACGGACAGCACTTGAGTTTGCAAAATCAGATGACAGTTCTCCACAAGCTCTGACTCGACGAGTAGTGTTCGAGTAAAGAGCCCTCACGAGGTTCATGTACTTCTGAGTCACGCCATTCAATGATAGACACTGCCACAGAACCTCACGGTCTACAGACTCAAATGCTGCTTTTTAGTCCAGAAAGACCACCATTGTCGGACGCCGACAAGCATGCCTGTGTTCTAGAACCTGACGAATGGTGAATATGTTGTCAATGCAGCCACAACCAGGTCTGAAGCCAGCCCGATATTCTCGTGTTTGCAGTTCACCAGTCTTTGTTACGCGCCCGATAATTATTGAGGCTAGTATTGTTGATGCTATATTAGTCAAACTAATCCCTCTATGGTTATCACAGGATGATTTTGACCCTTTCTTATTTATTGCGGCGATCAGTTATTGCGACTAGTCAGGTGGTATTACGTCCAACTCCCAAAATCTAGATAAAATATTAGTCAGCCTAGTCGCTGAAACTGGACCACTATCCTCAAAGTCTTCTGGAGTCATTCCATTCGGATTAGCTGCTCTTCCTCGTTTCATATTAGCTATAGCTTTTTGGATCTGATTGATGCTGATTTATGTAAATATTCACTTGTACAGGTTGGTCGGGTAGAACGTGATGCTCCTCTCGTTGCTGGACATACGGGAAGTGTATTAGATATACAATGGTGCCCACACAATGATGATCTTATTGCCAGTGGTTCAGAGGACTGTACTGTGAAAGTTTGGCAAATCCCAGAAGGTGGACTGTTACCCAAAACAAATCTGACTACACCCGTAGCAGATTTGGTATGTCACCAGCGACGCGTTGGTTTGGTTGTCTGGCACCCAACAGCTGAACATGTATTATTATCTGCAGGTAAGTTTTTCAGTACTATGCTTGAGAGTTGTTATTGCTAAAAGCTATTTTGTGTAGACATTACATCCCTAAGATCACAAAATTCATTTTCAAAGTTCTTAAAATAACACCGTATCAAGCAAGCACTAATTTCGAAAAAAACGTGTTGGTCATGTTATCGTTGTCCACAAAATGCTTGAGCTACTTAATGGAACCTTTCAAGGTCAATAAATGACACTCTATGTTTAGTAAAATAGTAACGATCAGTGGACAGAATAATCGTCTGTGATAGTATTCATGAATTTTAAACTCACATGTAATAAGATTAAGCACTTGTTTGGAGATTTATTTATAAGAATCTCTGAACATAATATCAGTAGAAGGATTAAACTCGTTTGTGTGTAACGAGTTACTTAGTTTTTATCTATCCTTTGAGTACTATACATCAAAATGTAGTTCAAGTTACTAATCAACTTGAGTGATGAAAATAATAATGACAATGGTTAAGTATCAGAGTGACCCCAACATTTATACGACCTCTTTATCATAAATTATCAAAGCCCGAATACCGCCTAAGTTCTTGTTTTCTAAATAAGATATAAAGGAGTATGTCCCAAAGTTTATTGACATTAACTTGAAACACATGCTTTATTATTATTATTGGACTTTCATTTGATTTGTAATTTTTCATACCGTGAACTAATGAAATATAATGTGAGTAATAATTTCCCTTCTTTTCTCGCTGGTTAGTTCTGATCACTTTCTACTTTTAATTAATCTATGTATTCCTAGGTGGTTTCTAAAATTGAACAGGCAAAATACTTTGTAATAATAAGATTTGTTTAAATGAATGTAGCTCTCTCAAATACTAGCATTCTCTTCATACTCAATGCGTATCTTATTGTTTCTGTCATAGTATTAATAGTGCTGATTCGTCTGTTGTGTAATATTTGTATTACATCTCTTTGATTTATCTGCTATCACTTGTTCATTTCATTTTAATTCAGAATACGACATAGTGTCTACAAATTTGCAATAATATTACTACACATCGTACATACTCAAAACAGTCGGTCAGTGAGAACTCACATTCAACTGTACACAAATGTCGATTAGTCTAAGTTTCCATACCACATTGCAACAAGACGAAATTATCATGATGAATATCAAATTACTAGTATCAGTGGTAGTAAAAAATATTGAATGAACAACTTGGTTGAGCGTGTATTTACTAATAGATATTTAGATGTTTACCTAGGTTGATTTATCAGGTCGTTCAATAAATTTGTGGTTTTTATTTTGGTAATATAAATAATTTTTACTGTAAGTAATAAATATATTTTTACTTAATTTATTTGAAACTATTAATTCCAACCTTGGCATTGATACCCATAAATTTTTACTGTATATTTTAATGTCATAATATATTAGATGGCATAGTTGTATGATATGTAAACTTTGAAATTCAATCGGTTAACTTTTACACTATAGTTGAAATCTCCTTTACTGTCTAGAAATTCAAAATAAATGAGTTATTGTTTCATTGGTTCTTATATCCAGCGTCAATTTCAAATGAAGTTATTGTATTTGTATGAATCAACAGCTTGTTTTGATTATAAGTGTTCACAGCATCGATTTTCATCTCATGTCTGATATATGTTTTATCTGATATCATAGTTACAGAATTCTAGCTATTGTCAAATGTGTTGTTGTCATTTTTCAATTGTGTTATCCATTTGTTTTTTTTCTGTCAAGTAAGTGAGAAATTAGCTATGCTATATACATGTTTCTCTATTAATCAATTATATCGATAGAATATGATTAGTGTAAATGAAATGTTGTTGTTAGAAGCTATGGGTTAGTTGTTAAATAATTTAAATTCCAATCACTGCGTTGATGTATTGTATCCGGACTCACCTACTTTATTTTGGCCAGTTGAACAGTAACAATAACTCTTACATAAAGCATGTAGCTCAAAGCTAAGTAAATAAAATTGGTTTCGACAAATGAGTTGAAGTATCATATTTCTGGAATTCGTGTTAGAAAACATTTTGTAGTGATTTTTACGTCAAATTATTCATGATATACGTGACATTATTTTTAAATGTCTATCAGTCAGCCATAATCAACGCAGAGCGTAGGACATGTGCGTTGGCTTAGGTGGTCACGTCAATACAGTGAACTTACATTGTTAAGATAAATGCCATAGTAGTAGGAAAGTTGGTGATAGTGAGGATGATTAAACACAGGATATATTTAGAGAAGGAACTCAGGATCTAAAGATAAGATTGAATGTATCTGTACCAGTTTGACCGATCCTGACCCATATCACTCAACGTCCTCAACCACCAATCGCATTAATTTCACGGGTCCCAACTAGGTGGTCTGCGTTTATCGACACAGCTCCGATCAGTAGTCAATAGTTTCATAGATTTATATCACGTCGTCGTCCGACCTCTTCTATAGTGTTTTTTCAACCTACTCCTTTCAGTCAGTCAGTCAACAACGTAGAACTTCGTACGTACGTACATCAGTTCGAGTTGCCAAACCACATTACCACACAGATACAATTGTCGATTCAAATCCCATAGTGATAGAGGTAGTAAAAGTGTAAGCAGTAATCGGAAAGATTAGGGTTTGAAGATGTTATTCAAAGAGCATAATTCAGTGAAAAAAATTTGGTAAGAGAAAAAAAGGAGACAAAGAATTCAGAAGTTTAGAACTTGGGAGAGCACAAAGAATGGATGCACCTGCGTCATTGCAAACGATTTTGAGTTATGTCATTTAAGGTCTGACAGACTGACACACCTCAACTTATTTCCGTTATCTTACCGTAAAATACAAGTTGATCTAACCATCGGTTGCTATCATCTCGCGGTCCCCAACCAGGTAGTATACACCTAACAACATGGCTCAGTCCACTTGTCAGTGACTTCATGGATTTGTACCATATTTTGGTCTGGCCGCCCCTAGCCTTCTTCCAACCTACTCCTACACCGTAAAACATCACACGTCGAGGCAGTCAGTGGTTGGGCATACGTAACACGTGTCCCAGCCATCTCAACTGATGAAGTTTCACTACTTCATCAATTGATTTGCCATCCTTACCTAGTACCCGTTTCTTAACAACTGCATTACTTACTCAGTGGTCCCAGGATATACGAGCAATGTTTCGAAGACATCGATGATCGAATACTAGTAACCTACGAATATCTTCTACTCTTACCGGCCATGTTTCACTACCATAAAGTAGGACGAAACAAACTGCTGCACAGTAAACATGTCCTTTGGTTGGTAGACGGATATCTCGCCTACACCATAAATGACGCAAGTTGGCAAAAGTTAGTCGAGCTTTCTGTATCCTTGCTGAGATTTCGTCACACACCAGACGACAAGTGCTGATGAGGCTCCAAGATAAGTGAAGTGGTCGACACGCTCAACTATTTCACTCCCTATCATTAGTTCAGGTGTCGATGCAACCTATCATAGGGCATGTTTCACAGACACAGCAATGCTAAGTATTTTATGAAGATAGTTTTCTTCTTAGATTATCATAAATAACCGATTAATTCCAAAGTTATCATCATTGACTTATGTTTGTTGAATAACTGGATAATCGTTTCACTTATCTGAAAAGCTGGTTCACCTTCTCTCATCCCAAGATTTTAATGAAGCACAAGGTGATAGAGTTATGTGTGGTACATAAATGAACATTTATTAAATTATATGTTTTAAAACCACTAACGTTTTTCATGGCTATATATCTTTTCGTCTGTTCTTATTTGTGTGAAACCCTCTGCTTTATTTTGTCCTCTTATTATCTAATTAAAGCTTTAAATTGTCCACATAGTTTGAAGTGTCAGTATACCTTGCTTGCTCAAAGGAATTTTATAATTTTGTCGACTTTGTCTTTTTCTTGTAGGCAACAAACTAAAATCTAGTTTAATTTTCTAATTTTATTTTTGCGAATTTGCAAGTGAATGATTTTTCTGCTAAAATTACTTCTTATTGTTCTTAGCAAAAGCTATAACGCGTTTACAATTTGGTATTTGATGTATTTCTTTGATGGTCTATTTGTGGCGTTATGTTGTCCTGGTTCCTTTCTATTATTCATATTCACCGCTAAAATAATATTGATTTGATTACTATTCCGTATTGTAATTTTTAATATCCTTGTTTGTGTTCAAATTAATTAGGTGCTGATAATAAGGTGTATATATGGAATGTTTCTACAGAAGAGCCATTGGTTGAAATGAAATTTCCAGATATTGTTTTATCTGCTTGTTTCAATTATAATGGTTCTCGTTTGGTTACAACTTGTAAAGATCGGCGTACAAGAGTGGTTAACCCACGTGATGGAAAAGTTATTGTTGTATGTTTCTTTTTATTGTATTTGCTATATCTTGTTTGTTTCAATGACTCAGTCAGTTTTATTTAACGTAATTTGTTTTCCTAATACTTTTGTTGGTACATGAAATATGAAATTATTTCTATTCAAGAGATCATAAAAAGACACAGTGACACAAATTAAAATAATATTGTGGATGGGTCAAAAATGAAATCATAAAACGACCAAAATTGATAGAGATTAAAAGAAGACAGTTAAATAAGAGGGCGTGAAATCTGAATTTTTTCCATCTTTATGATACTTCTTGCTGGTCATAAGACAGACGTTCGATAAAAATCCAATCCGTGCTAACACTGACTGTTATTCTCAGCCATACTTAACAATGTTTTAATTCATATTATCGACTCAAAGAGTTTATAAATGAACAGCATATGTTAACGCAATACTGTCCTTCCTCTGAGTCATGTCACAAACTAACCGTCTGTCTGCTTTCCAACTATCAGTCCAAGGATTAGCGAATAGTACTTAATATGAAAGCCGTCAAGACAACATCCGTCAAATATATACAATTATGTTAAATATTTTAATATACTAAGTATATTAATTACCTGATTACAGTAGCAACAACCCAGACAACTCACAGAGTAAACTCTTTACAAAACTTATTCAAAAGTGTGAAGACATATTGCAGTATCGCCATTGTACACAGAAATGGAAGGAAATACTTAATGGATATATCCTCGGAAAATAGCTAATAATAAAAATTAGTCAAGAAATGTTTATCGAATTTACGATTTAGTACGAAATCATTAGCAAAAGTTGTTAAAGGAATAACTCTATATGGAAAACATCTCCGAGATCACAAACATTAGAGCCATTAGGAACAGGCATAGCCCACAAGCCAAAAAACTGTTATCGTCAATATTATGCGAAGCAAAGAACACAACAACAATAGAAAACAAGGCAGAGACCGTATAGACAATAAATTACTGCAACCGCGACAAATACTATACAGGACAAAGTGACCCCCATGTATGTCTACGTTTACACAAATACCTATTAGCCATTAAACTCCACAACATAACTTCGCTTGTATCCGTGCATATGAACATGAGTTCAACTACGAAAATGTTGTAATATTTAACGGTGAAAATCAAAAGAGAGTCTTTGAAACCCTGTTACTCCACTGAAGCACCAATCAATAAACATCGAGACCAACCAGGTTTATCAGCCAATAAGAAAAGCCATTGAAAACTGCATAGTCAGAGATCAGATCAGGTTGAAAAATAGCCAAACTTTAATTATACTAAAAGTTGTTGGAACGAAATGCGTTTGGTCATTTTACGGTAATAATGATTAACTGCAGTAAGCCAACAATCGTCCTTATCTAGTAAAGTTTAAGGCCTAAAAACTCATGGCGTATATGACGGTGGAAATAATCCACTTTACCTCATATACTTGTGAATGTTTTTTATTCGTTTTCAGGAAATCATGTCCTCTGTTTACACATGGGGGTAGTGTTTTGGGCCTTAAGACGGTTTTATTTGTCTGGAAAGTAAATTAGGGTAACAAATCATGATTCCAGATCAATGACAGACTTAAGCGCTAGGGTTCTGAAGAAACAAGTATGATATAAATCTGCCTTAATAATCGATAACCGTGAACACTATATCGTTGGTCTATTGTTTTCTGGGTCCGACGCTTATATGGATCATGGGTAGGACTCACCGTTTCATCAAAAAAACCACCTACTTCTAGTCAGTTGTTTTAGAAGTATTGTAACTCCTCACAAGTTATGACAATCAATTGTAAACAACAGTATTTTTTGAATATAATTAATCTCTACGAAATAACTCATCAACATCTTTTGTTTGTTTGTTAAAATGCTTATACAGAATTGTTTTATTGTTTTAGAATGAAATGTGTTCTAATTGATATTATAGCATGGGTTTATAGTGCATATGATTGCCATGCACTTCTTGCTTTGTAGCTGATAATTTTGCCTTTGTGCTGATTAATAACTAATTTGTCTCAATGTATGCAAAATTTATTTTATAGGAAGGTATTTGTCATCAAGGCACCAAACCACAAGAAGCTATTTACATTAAAGACGATCGAATTTTTACTACTGGTTTTTCACCAATGAGCGAACGCCAATTTGCTTTATGGAATAAAGTATGTTATGCATTGCTTTATTGATACCTTGCTTTTTTGCTTGACAGAATAACTTGTTATGATGGTAAAATGTTTCTTTCTTGAAAAATTAATGCGATTTCAAGAATACATTCCTTAGATCTGTTCGGAACTGTACAATAGCTATAAAACCAACCTTAGAGAAAATGGTCAATTACGTAATCAGCTTTAAAATAATTTAAGTTTTCCAGAACAAGATAAAATATAACATGTAACACATTGTCAGCTTTCTCATCAACTTCCTCAATTAAGATTTCCGTTTTTGTGAATATAAGTTAATCTTATTGAATAGTATCAAACTTAATCTCAGGAATCCTGAAACTTTCTTCACTTGGATTATCCAGCGTAGTAAATGATGACATAAATTTGCAGCTACCCCGTAATTAGTGCTTAGTGTTTCTAATGCTAAGAAAAAATTGACTTTTGTATATTTTTAGTTTTGTATATCCGTTTAGCTATGTAGTGTAACATAGTTCACTTTCCGTCTATACTCAGTGACATGATTATTTTTAAAAATCGTATAGGTAAATCCTTTGTATTTTATACAGTTTTCATCATTATTGTTCAAAGGATCGTGCAATTGTATGAAGTATAATCCCATTCTGAAAAGAGAAAAGATTTATGGCTTATGTTTTAAATATCTGGGAATTCAAAGGCTAATGACTGTACATTGCTATGACTACATTTGTAATGATAAAAATAAGGATTTCTGGCAGTGACATGCGCTAACTCATTTGGTTTTATTTATTTATTTATTTATTTGAACACATACATATTGGTACAAGAGTGCGCCAAATATATATGCGCCACACAACTCATTTGATGCAATATATCTTCCGTTAATTATGATTAAACTTGGTCTTTTTGTATTTCTGGAATCTTGGCTATTTAACAATCGGAGAAAACTAAACAGATTGAAATGCGTAATATTTGTTAACTCTCTCGAAAATCGACAGAACTATGGCCTGTACGGCGATCCTTATCCGTAAGCAGTATAGTTTAGTCATGGGCTTCTCCTAGCGTCATTGCTTTTTGTTGTGGTTTAGTTTCCACTTTTTTTTTATAGTATTTCCCCATCCACATACGATTGTAACGAAGTTGTGAAAAGTCTACCAGAAATTTGTGTGTTTTAGTGGAGTCGCATCACATTGGATAGTTACCATAAGTTCTACTCAATACATTGAATAACTTAATATATTCACTTGCATAAATTTCATTAATCACTTAAATTGTAATTTTAGGACGACTTTAGCGAACCTTTACACATTCAAGAACTGGATACAAGTAATGGTGTAATGTTTCCTTTCTATGATTCAGATACCAATTTGGTATATCTTTGTGGAAAAGTAAGTGATACTCTTGTTTCATATCATATCTGATATGATTACTTAGTGGTAATCTTATAACTATTTAACCGCCTCTACATTTTTTTAAATTTTTAAATTTTCATCCTCTCCGCTTGTACAATCACTTGAAATCTTTAAAAGATCTGAATATTGTATCCTTTTAAGGAATACATGTCTGTTCCTAAACTGTGGCACCATGCATTGCATTTCTCTATCATCTGGTTCGAATTATGATGTATGTAATAACTTATTCCCAAGCTGTAATGTAGATAAGATTTGTTCACTTCTATAATTTTATTCAGATAATTACTTCCATTCTTTGTTTTTGCTCGCAACTTTTGTTTACTTTGTAATAAACACTTTTTCTGTGGCATTTGTAACATCCTTCGCTCTAAACATTCTATGCAGCCTAAGAGTGAGATTGTTTAATTTGTTAAATCAATTCTAAACTATATCAATAATATGATACCTTATAATCATGTGCTCAGTCCTTTTATAAAAAGTGAAGTGGCAAGAGTGAACACAAGTTACTCATTTTCATTTATCTTTGCTTTTATGTTCATAAGTTACTTCGCTAATACCTCTTCTGCATAATCATGTGGAAAACGAAAAGTAACCAACAAGAATCGAATATTGGTTACTTTTCATTGTCTTGTGAGCTTTTATCCTCTTGGAAACTTACATGTAAAGGAAAACATTTAATTCATTTACTGATAACTTTCTAATGGACTGGTCGTTGTCTCTGTCTCTGTGCGTGTTTATCATCAAAGGAGATAGAGAATATCTAGTTTTACATCACATTTATCTTCCGCCTTAAACTTTCTGTTCCAGTCACATGTTTTTTTCAGCCACATGAATGCTACTTGTATATGTACACATATTACTTAAAAGTTTATTATCAAGACCCGTTTTACTTGTTTTTCTTCTTCTAATAAAATGAAAGTGTGTTAAATCGTTCAGATGATTACAAAAAAGATCTTGCACATGATTTTGATAGGACTTAAATCTGACAGATTTGTTATTGTTTTGTAAGACATTTCTAATAAATTTATCCTCTCGTCACTGTTTTCAATACAATTGCTTGATTAATGGTTCTGGAATACATATATATCATTCTATACTGTTATCAGTCATACTTTAAATATTGTAGGCTATTGATACATCCAGGCTACTTAAATCGAAATAGATATATAGCAGAGTTTGAATCTACAGCTTGTTGGTTGAAAACTAACTAATTCTATACATGGTCAAACTTCATTGAGTTCTTCTTTCATTAGAACTCGTTTGTTATGGAAATTTCGCCTAATGTTTGTGGCACATAACGGTTGTAAATAGATTGTTATTGTTCATCACTTTTAATTATTATACGCGATATGTTATGCTTAATTAGATGTATTTCAATGGTTTTCGTCATACGATATCTCCGCACGGAAATCAGTTACTTGAAGGTGTAGGTTGATAATAATGGTACAATCATACATTTTCATCCTTTTCAAAATACAATAATGTGGACTTGATTTTTTTTATTGTTCAATATGGATGTTTGGTTTAAAAGAGTTATTTTCAGGGTTTTTGAGGTAACTTCTGATCGTTTTGTAAGATGAAATAAAATAAAAATTAACTTCTTAACATTTCTGCTTCTTAAATTACAAAAATAACAGTTACTTACATACACTTTCCAGTAGGTTATCTTACCTGCCTTAAGGATATTTCCGACTTAAAATCTAGTTGCACTAGTTACGATGTTCAACATATTGTTGACTGTCGACTGTTTTGAACTTAATCCTTTTCTAGCTGGTTGTCATCGAAAGTCAAGATTACCGTATACCCATTCTGAGAGTAGTAGACTTACACTTCTTTCACTGATTTTCAAGTATCATATACTAAAATTTTGACTAACTAAACGACACTCGCGATCTCACTGTTATCTCGCTGTACCACTGACTAGGGTTTGTATGATATTGCTAGTATTTACCGTGGTATTTTAAAGTTTTTACAGATATTAATAGAATTTTTACGACAACGTCTAATTAATTAGCGTAATTAATAACATTGAGTTAATGAATTGTTAATTAGTTTAAGGAACTAGTTATTATGTCTTATTTTTACCTTACATCCATTTTGACCATATATGGTCTGACTGATTAACTGAAATAAATATTTACTGTGTTGTTCAGTTTATTTTTTACTCAAATGATCAATTATAGAAACCGTATATCTGGAACATTTTCTCAACTGAATTAATGCCAAATTCACTGCTACATTATTCTAATCTGTTTTGCAGTATATCTTGTACTATTCATTTTGTGCTAATATTGTATGGCAACCAACGCAGATCTACGTTTGTCATTACTTTGATAATAACTAAGTGACTGACTAATGAACTACATCAATAAGGTTAGAAAGCATTATTTATTCGACTGCAACCACTATCATGAGGCCAAATTATATCAGTGCACTGTTAATGCTGCTTGTTTTTTTATTTATTAAGTTATGTGAATGCCCCCTTTTTATAATAACTGTTTCCTTTGTTTTATCTTTAAATTGTAATTTCATGTGTACCAAAACAAAATCGGCATACATGAATCCATACTGCTGTTGTATTCTTATGAGTCAGCTAAAAAATCATTATTTATTTATGGAATATTTACAAGTTTGTTATCGCATATATTTTATGGTTGAAAATAATCATAAATTTCAAAATTGCTGTGTATTTCTTCTTATTTAACTTTTTTGTTAAGAGGTTTAACGTTTTTCTTTCTTTCTCCTCCATAATTTAATTTTTACGCCCATATTTGGTAAATTATTCGGTATTTTTTCTTTCTATTCACATTCCCCAGTAGTAAATTAAGAATAAAATAATCTAATTCGTGGATTGTCTATCTATCTTGTTCTCCTACTATACAGTGCTAATTATTAGTTATGTTACTTGTTTAGACCTAATATAAAATTTGTTTGTAACTTATTTCATGTGATTACTTCGTACGGTAAGTAGTGTACTATATATATAGCCAGTGAATTAGTATTATTGCTAACACTTACAGAAAATCTGCTGCCTAAAGCTAGTTAAACAGATAGATAGATTGATGTTCAAGCGCTATTCATCTCAAATTTTAAACGATTTTATTTAGTTATTATACAGGCTCAGATTCTTACCAAAACAAGTAGTATCATGGAGTTATTTAATCGTTTAAACACTAAGATGATTTTGTATAACCAATGTCTATATCGTTCGACTATTTATTCATATTTCGGAACGGAAACATTAATCGCTGTTAAAACATGTAATTTTTTAAAATTATATTACTTATTAATACCTATGATTTTGTGCTAGATTTTTACCCACTCACTTTTTAACATTTGGTCACATGCCTACTATTTTTTCCACAAGTTAAACAGGCAGTGACTATTGAGCCATGTCGATAGTAATCATGGTCAGTAAATATGTGCTTTGTTTAAAGTGTATATAGGAATTTTACGTACGATTGCTGGTAGATACGCATATTTTGCTTTGTAGTGAAAAATAATCAAGTCACGTCTACCTCTGTTTTGCCAACCAAATACTTTCACTAGTCCTCGTGTATAAACGTATGCCTAAAACCAGAATATACAAATTTGTACTTGCTAAATGAGGTGCATTGTATTGTTACCTATTATTAAACTGAACTAATAACATATAATGCATCATATATGGTTAATAAATGACTGTAATTTGTTAGTAGTCGAAATGCGAAAACAATATTCGATGCTTCGTTTTTCGTATAATTTACCATGTCTGTAACAACAAATGTACAAAATTAGAATTACTGTAAACATCAATGGCTTTATGTGTAAACGTTTATTCGTATGTATTCCTTATCGTTGGTTGATTTTCTGATTAGATAGGCTGTACAAAAATAAACATCTGTTCACCTAACAATAATAGTGTTAAATTGATCAGTTTTTAGTATCATTTAAACGTGTTTTATTTCCAAATAAGAATTTATGCTTAAATCAATAACCGATTGCACTTTATATATATATATATATATATATATATATATATATATATATATATAATGTTTTTAAGGTTTGGATTTTCTTTTCTCGATTATTCGCTATCACAAGGCAAAGTTTCTATATGGAAATCTTTGATATGGTCTGTTTTAGAGCAGTAACTTACCCATTAGCACACGACTTTAGACCGGTGCGTCACAGATTCAGACTTCACTTTATGTACTTTGTTTCTGTCAGTTAGATAGTTTCATTTGTGTTTATAAATATGGTTTGGTTCAAAGCTAAGCCCTTAATAAATGACTGACATCATAAGGCCAGGTCCATGAAATTCATCGTTCCAAACCCACATAAATTACCTTTCACTGCGAAATGCACTATGAAAAAATATAAGTATATTTGACTTGTGAAAAGTTGTGCTGTGCTTTCTCGATTGTATATTTGAGCGCTCACCCATTCCTGTGATTTCTAGCTTCAAGTGATTGTCTAACTACAATGCAAAATAAAATATAATACCATAATAATTTTCTATTATCCTCTGATTTTATCCTCATCTAAGACAGACCAAATACAAGACATAATGTCATAATTATCAAGATCTAACTTCTTTAAGTCATCTAATTTCTTCCAGTTTTTAAGCAATAAGATTCATCACACATAATGTAGGTTAGGTCGATAAAAATTGTTCTTCCGAAGCATATTTCTTATATTTTATTTCCCATTATTATTATCATTATATTTATCATTCCAGTTAGTTTCACTTTTTAATTCAATATCTGCTAATGTAAGTTTTGACTACTCTGTCAGATATCCATGAATGGAGTTTTAATAGTTACTATTAATGAACCTTCTCGCATTAATCTAGTGTGTTTTGTAACCATATCTCTAGGATTATAACAGATGTAAAAAGGTGATCTTTGTAATATACAGTTTTATATTTGATCTTATATTTGAATCAAAGGACCCTTTTTTACTTTGTACTCTCCCAAATATCGGCTATAAATATGTCATGCCTGTCACCAGAAATAATTAACTCAACTGTTTTGATCATTTCCTTAGCAATAATTAGGATTGTTGAGTTTGTCTTTTTATAGCTATACATCTAAATCTAACTACCTAACGAAGTGGATAAATGTCGATGCTATTGTTTGTCATTGTTTAATAACTAATACATCAATATGATGCTGTATTTTATATTAGTGTATGTAGAGGAAACATTAGTTTACATCACAGTTTATTCATTTGATATTTCTCCACAGATTTCATTGTCACATTGTGTTTTCCTCACAGAAATGTTTTAAATTTTATTCTTGTCATATGTTTAAGTCGTATTTGGTGTTTAGTGGTAAGTGAAATTGTTGGTGTTATCCAAATTTTTCCTCAAAAAGTCCTCCAGTGGGCTCTGAAAACGCTGCAAAACATTTTATCCAATCAGTGTTGAATAGAAGTTTCTCAGAAACGTCTATAAAGTGAAGTTATGTATCACATTTCTAACTGCATGATTACCCATTCTATTAGTATACTTAGAATGGTTCTGGAAACTTCCAAAAGCTCAAGGCCATCTGAAACACTACAATTACCCTCGATTTTATGTACATGAACTTACCTTGGAGTAAAGGGTTATTTTTACATTTCCGCCCTTTTCCTCGTTTTCAAGTTTTCGTGTAGAAGAGCTTGGTAAACCGAGTCGAAGACTAAACGGAAATATTTAAAAAATTATGTACACTTCACCATGCTATTGCAAAGTAGACAGAAATATAAACTTTCATGAGCCTAAGTAAATGTAAGTATAGGTTTGTGGAGATTGTTGAATTTCATTGAAATCATGAATCGACCTAAGTTAGATCACCATTGAAAACTCTTGAAGCGTTACAAATCACCTGGCCCAGATGACTTACCTCCGGCTCTTTTTAATGATGGTGGTGACTTTCTGACTAAGCAACTGACGACGTTGTTTACAAAGGTATGGGAGCTAGAGAGTGTTCCAACGTCATAGAATGAGTCGATAGTTGTCCCTATCTTTAAAAAGGGTTCACGTCGTTCCTGTAACAACTATCGGGGGATAAGTCTACTTCCGATTGCGTACAAGCTATTGGCTTCCGTCATTCTTCGTAGGTTGTTCAAAACCCGAGAAAGATTGACTCGCGAGGAGCAGGCTGGATTTCGTTCTGGTCGAGGATGTATTGATCATATCTTCACCCTCCGCCAAATGTTAGAACACTGCCATATTTTTCAAAGGCCGACAATCTTAGTGTTTCTTGACATCAGGGCTGCCTTCGATTCGTTGGATAGAACTGTTCTCTGGGATTGTCTATTGAAGAAGGGTGTGCCTGAGAAGTTTATTAATATCCTGAAAGCCCTATATAAAAACACCTCAGGCAGAGTGAGGGCATACAACCACCTCTCTCCGTTGTTCCGTTCGAGCAGTGGGGTTAGGCAGGGTTGCCCAATCTCACCATTCCTCTTCAACTTTGCCATCGATGACATTCTGGAAACAGCTCTGATGAATGTAAGTAATGGTGGTGTGGATCTGTTGCCTGGAGAAAGACTTCTTGACTTTGAGTATGCGGACGATATTGTCTTACTGTGCGATAATGCCCAAGGCATGCAATCCGCACTTAATCAGCTGGCAATCAGTGTCCGTAGGTATGGTATGTGCTTTGCACCTTCGAAGTGCAAAGTACTTCTACAAGACTGGCAGGATTCTAATCCTGTACTCACCATGGATGGTGAGCAGATAGACGTAGTTGAGAAGTTCGTGTATCTGGGTAGCTGCATAAGTGCTGGTGGTGGTGTGAGTGATGAGATCAATGCACGTATAGTGAAAGCCAGAGCGGCTTATGCCAATCTGGGTCACCTTTGGCGCCTTCGTGATGTTAGTCTGGCTGTAAAAGGTCGGATCTACAACGCGTCGGTGAGAGCAGTTTTGCTCTATGCTTGTGAAACCTGGCCTCTCCGAGTTGAGGACGTTAGACGACTCTCTGTGTTCGATCATCGCTGTCTCCGAAGGATTGCTGACATTCAGTGGCAACACCATGTCAGTAATGCAGAGGTTCGGCATCGTGTGTTCGGGCACAGAGATGATAATGCAATTGGTGTCACCATCTTGAAACACCGACTTCGGTGGCTTGGACATGTTCTCCGAATGTCGTCCCAGAGAATTCCACGTCGTGCATTATTTGCCGACTCTGGGACTGGTTGGAATAAGCGGAGAGGTGGTCAGTGCATGACATGGTGTCGTGGTATGAAAGAAAGCTGCAAAGGACTGGCTTCTGTTGGTCCTTCACGACTCCCTGGTTGGGGTCTGAGAGCTGGTGCTACACAGTGGCTAGAGACGTTATCAGATATGGCTCAGAATAGAAGCCAGTGGCGATCCTGCTGTAACCTTCTTTTACTTTCTTCATAAAAAGTGGTTGTGTCTCCTTTACCTGAAAGATTTCTTCTGATTGTACCTTTCCGTTTCCTCATTATTACTATTATTATTAATACACTACCTTACACCAACTTCTTCGTTATTGTTCTTTTTTTCTTTCTCTTCAAATTCTCATTTTTTGTGTGGCGCATATATATTGGCGCTCTCTTGTACCAATATTCATGTGTTCAAATAAATAAATGAAGCACTGTAAGACCATTTCATCCTAGTATGGGGATTTCAGCAGTTCAAATGCTCGACTCCGCACTCGAGAATCAAACTTGCGACCATATGTCGGGGATGGGCTCTGTTGGAAAGTCTGTCCATTGCCTCCACGTTTTCGATAGTCATCTAACTTGGATCGGTTCAAGATTTCAATGAAATCTAATTAATTGTTGGTTTTTACATTAGTTAGGCACAATGATATTTAGGATATCCTGCACAGATTTTTAAATACCATAATATTATTTTGATTGATAAGGGGGATATTTGTATTTTACAGATGCGTTGATATGATTTACAATTTTTACGAACAATCTTTCATTAAATTATCTAGACTGCTCATATTTGGATTTAGTTTTTTTCAAACTATTAATTATGGTTTCTAATCATCGATTTTTAAATCACTTTTCTTGTTTTCCATTTGTAAATACAGGGTGATAGTACAATCAGATATTTCGAAATTACCGAAGAACAACCTTATGTACATTATATCAATATGCTTACTAGTTCTGATCCACAACGAGGAATGGGTTGGATGCCAAAACGAGGATTAGATGTTAATCAAAATGAAATTGCTAGATTTTATAAATTACATGCGAAAGGTTTATGTGAAGTTATTCCGTTCACTGTACCTCGGAAATCAGAACTGTTCCAAGATGACCTTTATCCAGATACAATTGGTGATATGCCTTCATTGACAGCTGATGAATGGATGTCCGGTAAAGATGCAGATCCTATTTTAGTGAGTTATTTATTACCTTTTTCAAAACTGTGTACCACAATTGTGCTACCAATATAATTTGGAAGATCTATTTTTGTTGGACTGTGGTCCCAAATCACATAGTGAACTTATTTTAGTGGCCGGTCAATAACCCTGTCCTATTTTACACTGTGTATGAATGGCGTTAAATTTCGCCTGTCAACATATGTATGACCAAAATGATACATTTTGTTTTTTCTGCACACTAGACCTTAACTAATTAACCTTCCAATCGTTTGTTTGAGTTAATTACATCGAGTATAAAGACAGGTGGCCACTCATGACACTGATGGTGGTTAACCTAGGTAGGAAATCAAATAAAGATTAACAATATAAAAATTGTTTAATTTCAGTGGCTGAATGTTACTACAGAGTACTTTAAGGCTTCAATTCTTAAAATTTAATCCATATGACGAACAATATGCTATCGAATTGCTTCAAGCCATATCATATTGCTTTACTTTTAATAGTTTTCTTCAGATAATCTCACTTTAAAATTAATTTAGTCAGTCGTATGCAACATGGAACTTAGTAAATGTGTATTTTTCTAACACCTTTAAAATGTGATGTTATGCTAATCTTAACAATTTTCTTGTGAATTGACTGTTATTCAGGTTTTAAATTTATCGAAGTAGGAGTACTGGTTGCGAAAACTGAAAAAATTAGTTAAGCACTTCAGTTAAACTCTATACTTAACCAAATACCTTCGAAAAAGCATTTATTATTTTTGCAAATTAAATCAGCTTTGTTTTTGTGTTAAGTTTCAATATTCTTGAAACAAAGCTGGTTTTCTATTGCTCAATGATGATATGATTTCCAAAAGTTGTGTGACAAAAAAAGATAATCCACTGTGTGCTTGATGGTCTCAATTGATTATAAATTTAAGCATATTTATAAGTGGTGTGACCTCATGGGTGACCTTAGGTTCATTGTCTTAAAATAAGGTTCTCTTTATTCTATTTCACGGTTAGTTCTGTTTACTGATGGATAAAATGACTTGTTTTAAACTACCTGCATTGTGGCGGTCGGTGTAATAATAATAACAATAATAATAGTTACAATACTACTAATGATAATAAACGTTATGTATTTTAATAAATCGGATAAAAGCTTCCTGTATTAATGCATAAATATTCAAATACTATCAACAAATTTTCCCTATACAAATCAATGTTATCAATAGCCTTTCGCTTCCTATCGATTTCTGATATCTTATTGATTTTCGTACCGATCTGTGTACGTGTGAAATTTAATCGATGAATGTAAAATTAAATAATCGCTTATTATCTCCTATTATTTGCATTTGCTGTTAGATACATACTAATACATAATCTAGTTGTAATCAGTTAAACTCGATATCATTTTATTATCACCACTACTGTGGTTGTAGTATTGTAAATTTCCACCACACCATATGTTCGTTCTATGTGCATGTGCACGCATACATGTGTATACAATACTTGATTTTTTCAGTCTATATTAGGTAAAATACCTTTCATATGTGGCTAAATATTGTAACGGTAGATCCCCAAATGCATGATTATTTTGAAGTTGTATAAACCCACCCATGTGACCTGACTGTGTGTTTACTACTGGACAATTGTCCACATATTTTGCGTTTTCACGTGCTGCACCATAAATGAACTAACTTATATACGTGAAGGCTAAAAATCGGCTGTTATTTGTACACACTTTTATAGTACGTATATCTGTAATATATACAGACTGCCAGTTACTTAGATTCAGTAGGAGATTGCAAATACATTTTTTAAATTTTTTTAAATTTCTAACTCTAATTCTACTGGTTTATAAGCTATTCTTTTTAATTAACTCTACGTATGTGAATAAATGTTTATTTCGCCAATAATTACTATACACTACCACATTCGTGTATTCTGTTCATGCGGACACACTATGTATGTTTTGAAGTTTTTGTTTAATCTAGTATTTATGTATGTTTGGTGTTGTGAAAACAATTTTCATAAGTCTTTGCTTATTGATCCTTCGCGTTGTATATTATTATCATTACTCTTGGAACCATAATTCAGTACAACTCCATGTGTCTGTATAACAGTATGTTTTATTTTTACTATGGACAGTGCTATTTTATTAATGTTCACACCATAGTATTTTATAATTATTTAAGGGCTTCACTGTCGTCCAAATAAGAATCGTTTAGTAATATTCATTGTTTTTTTATTCAAACTGCCCCTAATTGTCATTTTCATTAGTTAGCTCATTTACTTTTTTATTTTTTATCTTGCTGCACTGTCACATTAGATTTATTTCAATATATCTATCACTCACCTATCACTCTTATCAAAAATCAGCTTTTGTTTTTTGTATTCCAGTTTATCTTATTCTAAATTTAAAGGTCGGTTTTAAGTCCTACATTCTTCCGACTCTACAATGGTTTATTAGTTTCTGTACATCATCTTAATATTCATCGTTTTTGTGTATTTGTTTGAAGAGTTCAAGTTTTAATAATAATAATAGTGTTGTAATTCTTTCATCTGGCAATCATTTTCGCTTCAGTTTTTGTAATGATAGTGATTAGTGTTAAGTGAATTTTTGTAGAAACTAACATTAAATTTTTTAAAAATAAGCAAAGATGTATAGTGGCTAGTAGTGAAATCCAGGACGCGCGTTTCATCCTATTTTGGACTCTTCATTCTATTCAATCTGTTTAGTGTATGAAAATAAAACATAATTAATCTGCTTCCTTCATTAGACTATATAAAAATGATATAGACAATGAAGACATTAATTGAACTCTTTGTTTATTAAAATAGTTCTAGTATTATATTCCGTTCTGTTAGTCAATCATAAACAATATAGGATATGAGAAATATGTGTACGAAATTTAAATTAATATACATTATTATCATGTATGTGAAACATTGTCAAATACTTTCATTTATTTAGAAATATTTACAAATTTTAAGGATATATTGGCTCCTCTTCCAAAAAAATATAAAACAATATTAATGGTTAAAATAATGTGAGGGTACTGATTCCCTTCAATCAGAGAAGCTTACACACAATTTTTTTCTTGTTCCAATATTTCAATTTTATCCTTCCCCATGTTTTGTATATTATTCTGATTTTGTAGATATCTCTAAAGGAGGGTTATGTTCCAAAATCGAAACCGAAAAAACGTATTGGGAAGTTAATCGCATCCACTCCAGAAGCAGATAAAGAAGAACAAGATTCAAATTTGACAGTTCCACAAACTAAAGTAACATCGCATCAAAATCGACAACCTGGCTCTAAATCACCAAATCCTGAAAATCCTCCCAAATCTGATCATCTAGATGCAAATCGACAACGATTAACTAAGAGTACCCCACCCAAAGATACTCCATCTTCTGAACCAGTGGTATGCTTCATCATTTATTTTTTTAAATGGCTGTCTTATAAGTCTTGTCTGTTTCACATTGATAACCTATTTTTCTATAAACTTATGTTTTTTTATTAGGACTTTCTCATAAAATTCTGATGTGACGTTGACTATTAATAAATTAAGCTGTCGAAAATTTATAGCCGTATAATAATCTGTTAATAAACAAGTAATAATCGTTCATTACCTGTATTGCACATTAGTTTAATCCCCTTAGATTAAGATTAGACTGCGACACTTCTTAACAAGATTAAAAAGTCAATAGAAATTTGGGAAATGATATAATGGTAATATAGAATCTGTAGACAGAAAAAAGTGTCCTAGTAAACAGTTGAAAAGTGAATGGATTTTCACCATTTTTATCGATTTCTAACTGTGTTTCACTCGACCTGTAATGTATGTTTTCTGATATTTTGATCAAGATTTAGATTAGCAATTAGCAAGTTTATCAATATTTTGTTTCATCTGATCACTTCAGTGTTATTCCTACTTCCCTAATTTTCAATGTAGGGTAATCACCCATCTGTAGGTGTGGTGTACGTCTCTATTACCTCGATCATTGAATGCTCACGAAGAATTACCCTTATCTAATGCATTTTAGTTAACATTATGGGACACTCAGTTGTTACACAACAAAATAATGACTCTTTTAATCAAGTAACTTTAATCTTTCTATTTTTAACTTCCAAGTCCTTGTTCTATAGCTGTGTAATTTGTCATTGCTGCTCTTTATATTTCCTTTTAGGTGGGAATTCATTAAAATTCTACGAATAGTAAACATAGTGTTATTTTACAAACATTAACAGTAATTCTGCTTAAAAGTTACTGAGTTTTATGAATAAGTGTGAAATCTTTCTTGTAACGATAACCATGAGTACAGCTTTCCCAATTTGTGTTTCCTAATGCCCTTTAATCTTTTCTGATTGGTCGTTGTCGCTTTTAATTTGCCGTTTTTTGTGCATCTCAGTGTTATATATATATATATATATATATATATATATATATATATATATATTACTGTCAGTTTGCCGCCTTATCGAACTAGCAATAAATTTTGTTTAAATATAATGAAAATTCCCATTTTGCTATTTGTTGAATAAAGAAGGAACGAGTTGAACGAAGAAATTTCTTTTCACTTAGTTTTTCATCATGGCTCTACACTTTTATATATTTGATTTACAATAATGATATAATACTCATCGGGTGGATACGTTACGTAATAGTTATATAATGACATTCAGATTAACATTGAGTAATTGGAAGAAAGAGGATTATTAATATTCAAAGTAATTATTAAATCAAGAAGTTGCTATGTTGCGTAATATATGAAAAAGAGAAGGAACAGAATTTTATAATAGATGGTCAAGAGAATAGTAGTTACGTAAGAATCAAAAGATGGATGTTGAGGAGTTATAAAGTTCAAAAATAACAAAACAAAATTTAAAAAAATTTTCAAAGGAAAAAAACCAACTACAATAATTTCTATCGTTAGTACATAGTGATTACTGTAGGCCAAAGCAAATCAAATTCCAAAATAAAACGTATTCGTTTTTCGTAATGAAGTAATACATGCAACTAATTTTTTAACACATAACTATCGACATCCGTAGAACACACCACAATATAACTCTTAATCCAGTCATTTATTTCCTTCCACGTTGTCTACACAATGATCACCACTCAAAGTTTTCCGAGTTTCAAGAATATTGGACAACTGTAAATTTATATTCAACATCTTAGAAAATCACACACTTTGCGAAATACTACTTATTTACTCTATTTTGTTATTGACTAATTGGTTTCTGAAGTCATTTGCAACAAAATAACATTTCACTAGAGTCAGTATTTTTTTTACAAAATTTTAATAAAAAAGACATTCGATAACAGTTGTTGACCTTACAGTAATTTCATACCCTAGATTCCATGATCTGAGTTTTTAGATTTACATTTTATTTTTCAAGAACAAACTGACACTTTAGGTCAAAACATACTTCCATAACAATGTAGTTGAAACAACCAACAGATTCACTTATTTCGAAAGTTTCACATATTTTAGTTGGTTGATTATTGACTGGATCTTTGAACTGGTAGGCAACGAATGACTCAATTATGTTTCCTTACTCACGCATGTTACTCCTAATGTCTATTCAGCTTGTGCCTTGTCTTTTTCTGCTCTTGTTCGGCTGGTATTGATTGCTGCCTTCTTGTTCCTCCTTTCTTGAATCTTATCCAGTGTATCAACAGTGATCCATTCCTCGTGATGGTGCTTCTTGTGGCCCAGAACCTCATGGCATGTTGAAGTGATTGCTTCTTTGATCCCCTTCCAGTTGCTCTCCATAGTAGTTCCTTCTCCATTGAGTAGATCATGAAAGGCCTGGAACTCATTGCTGAGGACTATCTTGAATTTGTTGAGTTTGTCAGTATCCCGTATTGAACTTTTGTGATATTGTCCGCCCCATTGTCCAGTACTTCTTGAGTTTCAATTTCATCTTGGCGACCAGCAAGTGATGGTCTGATGCTACATCAGCTCCTCTCTTGGTTCTCACATCCTCCATCGTCCTCCTGAACTTTTTGTTGATGGAGATATGGTCGATTTGGTTCTGCGTAGTGTGATCCGGTGGATTCCATGTGGCTTTGTGAATGCGCTTATGTGGGAATATGGTGCCGCCTATGACCAGTTTATTGAAGGCACATAGGTTTGCAAATCTCTCACCATTTTCGTTCCTTTCTCCCAGTCCATGTCGTTTCATGATGTCTTCCTATCCGGTGTTGTCCATTCCAACCTTGGCATCTAGATTTCCCATCAGAATGGTCAGGTCCTTTGTTGGGCACTTCTCTACGACTGACTGCAGCCTATTGTAGAATTGATCTTTAGCGTCTTCATTGTAGTCGTTGGTAGGCGGGTAGCATTGGATGATGTTCATTGAAATGCCCTCTTTCTTTGTTTTGAAGGAGGCTTTGATGATCCTTGGTCCATGAGGTTCCCATCCTATAAGTGCATTTTGTGCTTGTTTGGACAGCATCAATGCAACTCCTTGTGTATGTGGAGCATTTTCTTCTTGATGGCCGGAGTATAGCAGAAGCACCCCTGAAGCTATTCGTTGTTGTCAAACTTGCGTACAGTGTGTTTCACTGATCCCAAGCACCTCTAGGTTGTATCTCCTCATTTCTGCAGCAATTTGGAAGACTCTCCCACATTGTACGAGTATTCCATGTACCTAAATAAATGGTTGTTCTGGTTGTCAGAAGGGGCTTCGGCCTCGTGATTTCCGAAGGAACTCGGCTTTCATCATGAGGCGCCATAGTTCTTCTAAATGAAGACCTTCTGAATCCCAGGGCAGAGTTTAAAAGATTTGAATAATTTTTTCTGGTTAGCGTTTTTTAGCGAGTTAGTTTTCTACGGGATGGGGACGCTAACACCATGCCCAACCGTTCTCCTTTATCCGGGCTTGGGACCGGTAGTAGCTCCCGGAGGGACTCCAGGCGGAGTTCAGTTATGGTTCGAAATACATAAATGTGAGTTCTATGATACCAAAAAGATTGATTTTGTATTTTATTGACTATGGTTGTAAGCTACATCATTGGTGATATTCGTCTTATCTCTTTTTAATTAGAAAAGAAAATAATATCAGAGGTTAATTAGTAAGTTTTGGGATTTATCATATTATCTAATATTTTTGTACTGATTCCATTATTCTTTAAAACGACTCCATTTTTCTCTTTTTTTGTCACTTTAGAATGGTATTTCAACCGGTGCTTGTCATGCAAATCACACCGGTATTCATCATCTCATGGAAGATATTCGCAAAATGAAGATAATTATTAAAGGTCATGAAAGGCGTATACAAAATCTAGAAGAACGTCTAGACTTGACTGATAGTGGTGGAGATTGTGTATCTTCCATGTCTGTCAGTTCAATTAAATAACTGTACACTTACATCATTCGTAAGGCCTACAACAATACCCCCCTTTCATCCTTATTATTATCTGTTATTTGCTACCAGTACGTTTACTAAACACTGTGTAGATCATGTCATATTTTTTGGATTGAACAGAATAACAATGACAATTAACCTCGCCATGATCTATCGATTGCATGTATTATTCTGTAAGCTTTTTTAATTTGTAATAAACATCAGAAAAAATCTGTCTTCCATTCACTGTGAACAAAATTAAACATATGAGCTCATTTCTTTATCTCTATGATCAGCTCTTTTCAGTCGTACTCTGTCCCCCCCCCCTTTATTTATCTGTATGTATGTGTGAATCAATTGATAATTGATTAGCTGTTCAAATAAACAATACTTTTTAGCATTTATTAACAAAACAATATATATACTCTTTGGCAGTTTGCCTTCTTTCTTGTTTTTTCTCTAAGGCATAATGTGTGGTTTTAATAGTTTACAAATTTACATTTTTGCTAATTAGTTTACTTTAATACAACAAACGCATATACGTAGTCTTTGCATTATATCTTTATATGCCTTTGCAATTCACTAAAAATGTGCCACAACCATATATGTATATATGGGCTGTGTTTGCATGTTAACCTGTGTTTACTTATTCAATGTGTGTGTGTGTAGAAAAAAATTATAAAGTTGATGTATCGCACCAGAGTGCCCATAAATTCTCTTTTCCTTACTACACATACACACATTGTTAATGATTTCGATGTCTCTTTCCGTTTCTTCGTTTTGACACCGTTTTCCAGCAAATGATGAGATGTTTCTCTTCAGATTTATTTATTAATTTCGGTTCGAAAATCTTCGGTTGTTTTACACATGTATGTGTGCTGATTGTTCATCTACCGTTTGGTCTTATCAAAAAGCATATTCTTCACACTGTTAACACACGAATATAATGATAACAGTGATGACAACAGTAATATATATATATATATATATATATATATATATATTCACTTTCTTGTGTGTGTTACTTGCATGACATCTTTTTATTCTATCAGTCTATCTTCCTCATTGTTTTCTTGTAGTTTAGATGTTTATATTTCCTGAGTCACTAGATCGTCTTAGACTATTCATACTGAATTCTATGTAGATTTTTTTAAAAGTTCTATTTAACTGTATTTCTATAATTGTTTACAAACTTTACAGCTTCTTTACCTCAGTTTATTCGTCTTGATATTATATACGTGAATATGTGTCCCTTCTGTCTTTACTTTTTAATCAATGTCTGTGGGATTTCATTTTTTCGAGGAAATAAAACTGATTATCTAATGGAATTTTGACGACTCAGAATTCAGAAATGTTCTCATTGAATTAATGCCTTTAGTTAATGTTATTTGTTGTTCATTTAGGCGTTATCGTTTATACTATTACTGTTGCTATTTCATTATTTTCAAGGTGGAGAATAATAAGTATCCTGAAATGGATTTGTTTGTTCTTTACCTTTTGTAAAACAGTTTTATTTAATGGGCTTTGATAGGCGACTCTGTATGTAGTCTTTTTTCCATGAATAAAAATCAAAATATTTTTTCATGTAAGTTAGAATTTACCAAGGCCAACACAGTCAACATTTGTGTGCTACACTTGTCAGGTACATCTGATATGACATAAATTCTACCTGAAAATGGCAAATTTACTAATGAGATAGGCTTCTTCACTTAGGTTAGATACGCATGCAGTGTGTAGAGGATGTTTTATGAGTAAATAATTTATAATAATTGGAATATTCAAGTCTATTACAGTTAACAGATGGGATGTATTCCCCCCTGAATGCCCTGGTACGGCCGAGAGTGGGGAGAGTCCGCTCTCCCTCTCGAAATACTCTCACACGGCCACGCGTATACAGCCTCTGCCAGGGAAGTCCTACTCATTGCCTTCTCGTGGCGGGGGTGTTGTTTACGAAAATGAGAGGACGAAAAGCGAATGTCCGGCGCTTTAACCGGATTCCAAATCAATGGTGCACATGGGCTCTAGTATCCTGCGGGAACAAATGGCATATGAACCAATTGTTGGCCACCGACTTCCATGGGACTGCATCTCCTTACGATGCTCCACTGCCTTGTGGATTAGACCTTCAGGTCGAAGGCTCGGGGTGTGGCCCCCTAAGATAACCACCTGCTTCGGTTTGGGCACCCGGGCAGTATCACAGCCCACACACAAATGATGAACTCTTTATGTCTATGGAAATTATTTTTCTCGCTTCGAAAAACAATCAATTGATTCAAATTATTATCATTACAATTATTGTCATTATTAATACTATTATTATTCCTACCATTATTGTCATTATTATTATTATTTTCCACATTATTCACCCTCTTTTATACTTATACAGCGGCTCGTCTTTGGTGGAAATCCGACTGTATCTAAACGTTCTCGATTCACTGTCCGGTTGAAAATTGTTTGTTACCACCGAATACGAGAACTGAAGCAGTTTTTCTGAAACCACGTGCACCATTCAAACTGGCTGCCTTCAACGTTCGCACATTTATGCAGGTTGGACAACAGATAGGGCTGGCTATGTCTTTGGAAAGTCTTAATATTGATGTTTGTTGTCTATCCGAGACCCGTATTCAAGACTGGCGAAGTACTACAAATTAGATCTCCATCTGTCGCTTCAAAAAGCTTGTTTTTACGTGCGCTTATCCGGGGACCCTGTGGCATCTTCGTCTTGCGTTGGTGTCGCACTAAGCGCTAGAGCTGAGGCAGCACTAGTCGATTGGATCCCCATTAACAGTCGGTTATGTGCTGTTAGATTAGAAAGTTCCATCAAAGTGAGAAGAAATCGGCGTGAGAAACGATGTCTTTTCGTCATCTCCGCCTATGCCCCGACAGATTGCAGCCCGGATGCAATCAAGGATGAGTTTTACCACCAGTTATCAGTTCTTCTCCAGAAAGTGCGTTCGACAGATATTGTGGTACTAGCCGGAGACTTGAATGCTCAGGTCGGGCGTCTAGGCACAGAAGAGAGTCGTTTAGGTGGCCGATGGGGACTCGTTGGTCGCAGGTCAGATAACGGAGACCGTCTACTGCAACTTTGCACAGACCACAACCTGTTTCTGGCTAGCACTAACTTTCGGCACAGTCATTGCCGATGTGCCACCTGGCGTCCTCCCTCTGCATCTCAAGCCTGGATTCAGATTGATCACATCGCGATCAGCTACCACTGGCGTGGTTGTGTACAAGACTGCCGCTCCGTTTGGAGTACCTATCTGGACTCTGACCATGCCTTGGTCCGCGCCAATCTTGCCTTACTTTTCAGTGGCCAACGGAGTGACCACCACCAAAAGATTGATGTTAGCAAGCTGGTTGCAACTTCTGTTGCAAGTAAGTATCGAACCGAGCTAGCCTCTAGGCTAGCTACCACTCCCCCGAAAAGTATAGATGAGCATTGGTTGCAATTGCATGACGCCATGAAAATGGCGGGAACAGTCAGTTGTGGGTTTGCGAAACGTCCCGCTTTTAGGCACTGGGTTTCTGCAGGTTCCTTACAACTCATTGAAGCCCGTCGGTCTACTCCGGGTGACCATGAGTTTGGCCACAAACGAAGGTTGTTACGTAGCGAAATTGGGCAAAGCTTGCGTAAGGACCGAGAAGCGTGGTGGTCGGAGCGTGCTAATGAGCTGGAAGCAGCAGCTGCATCCGGTAATTACTGGAAGCTCTTCCAGCTCATCCGAGCCACTGGCAGCAAGAAGTCTGGTGTGAGTGAAACAATCTGCGAGGATGATGGGATGCCAATCACTAGCATCCATCGACGTCTTGGACGGTGTGCAGAATTTTTCGAAGGGTAGTTCAACTGGCCTGCTGCTCCGGCGACATCGGTCAGACTGTCCTGCCCCCCATGGCAGGTGACGACTGATCCACCAAACGAGGAGGAAGTCCGCAAGGAACTCCAACTCTTGAAGCGTTACAAATCACCTGGCCCAGATGACTTACCTCCGGCTCTTTTTAATGATGGTGGTGACTTTCTGACTAAGCAACTGACGACGTTGTTTACAAAGGTATGGGAGCTAGAGAGTGTTCCAACGTCATAGAATGAGTCGATAGTTGTCCCTATCTTTAAAAAGGGTTCACGTCGTTCCTGTAACAACTATCGGGGGATAAGTCTACTTCCGATTGCGTACAAGCTATTGGCTTCCGTCATTCTTCGTAGGTTGTTCAAAACCCGAGAAAGATTGACTCGCGAGGAGCAGGCTGGATTTCGTTCTGGTCGAGGATGTATTGATCATATCTTCACCCTCCGCCAAATGTTAGAACACTGCCATATTTTTCAAAGGCCGACAATCTTAGTGTTTCTTGACATCAGGGCTGCCTTCGATTCGTTGGATAGAACTGTTCTCTGGGATTGTCTATTGAAGAAGGGTGTGCCTGAGAAGTTTATTAATATCCTGAAAGCCCTATATAAAAACACCTCAGGCAGAGTGAGGGCATACAACCACCTCTCCGTTGTTCCGTTCGAGCAGTGGGGTTAGGCAGGGTTGCCCAATCTCACCATTCCTCTTCAACTTTGCCATCGATGACATTCTGGAAACAGCTCTGATGAATGTAAGTAATGGTGGTGTGGATCTGTTGCCTGGAGAAAGACTTCTTGACTTTGAGTATGCGGACGATATTGTCTTACTGTGCGATAATGCCCAAGGCATGCAATCCGCACTTAATCAGCTGGCAATCAGTGTCCGTAGGTATGGTATGTGCTTTGCACCTTCGAAGTGCAAAGTACTTCTACAAGACTGGCACGATTCCAATCCTGTACTCACCATGGATGGTGAGCAGATAGACGTAGTTGAGAAGTTCGTGTATCTGGGTAGCTGCATAAGTGCTGGTGGTGGTGTGAGTGATGAGATCAATGCACGTATAGTGAAAGCCAGAGCGGCTTATGCCAATCTGGGTCACCTTTGGCGCCTTCGTGATGTTAGTCTGGCTGTAAAAGGTCGGATCTACAACGCGTCGGTGAGAGCAGTTTTGCTCTATGCTTGTGAAACCTGGCCTCTCCGAGTTGAGGACGTTAGACGACTCTGTGTTCGATCATCGCTGTCTCCGAAGGATTGCTGACATTCAGTGGCAACACCATGTCAGTAATGCAGAGGTTCGGCATCGTGTGTTCGGGCACAGAGATGATAATGCAATTGGTGTCACCATCTTGAAACACCGACTTCGGTGGCTTGGACATGTTCTCCGAATGTCGTCCCAGAGAATTCCACGTCGTGCATTATTTGCCGACTCTGGGACTGGTTGGAATAAGCGGAGAGGTGGTCAGTGCATGACATGGTGTCGTGGTATGAAAGAAAGCTGCAAAGGACTGGCTTCTGTTGGTCCTTCACGACTCCCTGGTTGGGGTCTGAGAGCTGGTGCTACACAGTGGCTAGAGACGTTATCAGATATGGCTCAGAATAGAAGCCAGTGGCGATCCTGCTGTAACCTTCTTTTACTTTCTTCATAAAAAGTGGTTGTGTCTCCTTTACCTGAAAGATTTCTTCTGATTGTACCTTTTCGTTCCGTCGTTACTACCTGTTGGGATATTCAGGAAAATATCCCAGAAATTATCCTGTTAAGCCTAATGCTATCCTTGGACATGAAATAGTATCATCTTATTGGCCAATATTTATTTAACGTGTCATTTTCCTACTGGCCATTATTGTACAATGTTATTTTCTATTTTATGGTACGTTGTGGACTGATTGACTGGTATATAAACAAAGTATGTTTGAAATATAATGATTCATAAATCCGAGGCTGTGACTTGCGTTCTGGACTCAATTGGCTGGGCTATATAGGGAAGCGAGACCAATCAGAACCCTAGGTCGTTCTACGTGTTTGCGCGTCTTTGGTCCGATCAATAATTCGCTACCCTTAATCATCAGCATTTATTTTTCACGTTATAACACTACCACACTACCTTACACCAATCTCTTCGTTATTGTTCTCT